GTCAAACTCTGCACATACATCATTCTGCACAGTGAAGATCAAACATCACACTGTAGGAACAAGGAGAGAAATGAAGAATTTGGAGCGGAGGGGGACTTTAATAAGTCAATAGAACAGATTAGAACAGAATACAGTAACGTGCATAGATGGCTATAGGGATTTATGGTGGTCGGACTGATGTAGATAACACAGACGGACCAGCTGCTGTATCTATCTGTCACACTGACAGCAGGGGATGGACACCGACTGTGGCCTACTGCTGAGGGAGCTTAGGTGCTGTGTGTGTGTGTGTGTGTGTGTGTGTGTGTGTGTGTCTCTGCATTATCGTGTGTAAAGGGGGAGGAAGGCTGGAGGCAAAGATCAATGGCGTAGTGTTCGGATGCATTCCTGAAGAACACCTTCATCAATCACGGTGGCTTCTCGCCGCTCTCCTCCAGCGCTCCTGTGTGTGTCTGTGCATGCAGACGTGCAGGCCCGTGCGCTCAAGACAGGAAAGATTGAGAGCGCAGAAGCACTTCCTTATCATCAGTTTACAGTTCCTCCATTTCCTTTTAGCGCGTGTGTGTCCCGCTGTATGTCCTCACTGTATACGAGATGATGCTGCCCGTCTTCTCCTCTATACTTGTACCACTGAGACAAATTCTCTACATTAATTGTGTGATGCTGATTCAGATCTCGTGTGGTTTTTATGGTCAGTTCACAGTTGGAATTAATAGAATTTGTGTGTGTGTGTTTTTCTTTGATACCACTTTAAATTAGAAGTCACACAGTAATTAAACCTTCCGCGTTTAAAGGTCATAACTTCTTTAGTAAGTAGGAAGGAAGTAAAGCCGGACCTGTATATACTCCTTGTTGCTGTCCTCTGAAGGCGTCCAGGCGTTGTCATCGTTGTTGAGGCGGGCCTGGCGCGGCAACCAGCGGTTGTCGTAGAAGGTTGTGGAAGCGGAGATCTGATCGTCGCTAATCTTCCCCGACTCCATGCCAAGTGCCATGCTGCAGTGGAACGCTGATGGGAGGGAGAGAGGAGGAAGTGGAGGGAGATGAAGAGATTAAACTGTACTTTTGTTGACGTGGCTTTGCAGCAGAGGTGGAAAATTAACTGCAAGTAAAGGAAAAGTGGAAGATGACAGATGCAAGAAAAATGTATTTAAGAGACTGAAAGGGAAGATCTAAGCTACGTATTATAGAGCTTGAAGACAGAAGACGAAAAGGTAAATTCAGACAGAGAAAGGCCAAAGGGAGACAGAAAGCAGCCCAACAGGTGAGCAGAGGTAAATTGAGGTGAAGTTAATTTAGATTCTAAAAGAAAAAAGCATGAGTCTGCTTCTGAGAAACTGCGGTTCTCTTAGGAGGGAGCAAAATAGGCTGAGAGGGGCGAGAGAGAGAGAGAGATTGAAATAGCATTAAAGTAGGCAAAGCAGAAAAGATCGAGAGGGTAAGAGGAGTGTAAGATGAAGAAAGAAAGATGAGTGTCAGCAGAGAAGATGACTGTTGAAAGAGAGAAAATAGAGGTGGGAATAAAAACGGGTAAACAAACCGACACAGAGAGCGCTTACACACACACACACACGCTTAAAGTTATCTGGCACTCACAGTCGCTGACTTCTTTGTGCGTCATGTTGTATCGGGCGGAGAAGCCATCTTTGGCCACCGCCATGTCGGTGTGGAAGGAGAGGGAAAGCAGGCCGGAGGACGACTGGATCTCTGGCGGGATCTTTGTCCCGCAGTACCGGCCGATCAGAGGAGCCACTGCAGACACACAGAAGTGTTAATACTTTAAACAGTTTCATTCAAGCAGCTTTCAAGGTGATATTGCAATAAAAGCCCCTTTAAAACATGTAAAAAGTAAGAAGATGATGCTTCTATTTCTACCAACTGAGTAGCATCTGGTTGTGTTTTGAAATGTTTTTGCAGCATCTTTGAGAACAAACAAAAGTTCATCCTTTCCATTTAAAATAAAAAAAAGGAATCCAGCACCGCTGCAGAGACAGGTTTCCAGTGGCCATGCTGCTTCTGTAAGTGTTGTCTAATGAGTCGCAGCATGCACCCCCCACCCCCATCTTCCTTCCTCCCATCATTCCTCTCCTCTCTCTTTTCTCTCCTGTCCATCCCTCCATCTGCCATGTGTGTCTCAGCCAGGGCCCAGCAGGGGGACTGGAATCCCTGTCTTAATGCAAGCTGCACTGGGATCAGCTGCAGACACACACACACACACACCAGCGAGGATTACAATAGTCTCAAGAGTAGCTCCTGAACCAGACACCGAAATTTTTCACCCTTCCGTCTCCCGTTCCTCTTTCATGCCCGAGGACTCGGCTCGCTAGAACTGGGTTACACTTTAATTTCCTCCCTAATTCTCAACTTTAAATGGTATAAATTGTTTTTAGCTATCAAAGCTCCCAAATTCGAGGCTATAATTGGAATTTTAAATCCACTTGGATCCCTTTTTAGCAACTGAAAATAGAATAATTAGAGCAAATCCTCAGTTCTGCTTCGTGTTTTAAAAAAAGGGGGGGGGTAAGAAAGAGAGACGGGGAGAAAGTCCGCATGAGAGAGGCTGGAAGTGAACCACTCACCACTACTGCTAATGTGGTTTTCATCAGCGCTACAGCAACTAACATTACCCGGCCTATGGCGGTCACTATCAAAGCCCTCGATAACATCCTCAAGTGTTTTTTCCTCGCCACTTCCTGATCTCGGTTGAAAGGCCACTTTCGCAAACACTCGGCACCTCCTATTGGATACAAACAGATACTCATCGTGGCCGTCACTCTCACTCGCCCGGGGGGAGGAAGGAAGCGTTAGGTGATAAGGAGGGAGGACAGGGAGGATAGGAAGAGGGTGATGAAGGGTGTTATTATGGAGAGGGAAAAGGGGCATGGGAAAGGGCTGCTCCTTAGGGGTGTCCAGGCACTTACAGCTCCCCGTGTGAAATAATGTTTCCTCTATGTAATGTGAAGGAATGTAAGGCAAGGCTGCTTACATCAAAGACGGCGACGGCTGCTCGGGAAATTGAAGACTGGTATGTAAATTTCTGTGTGAGAATGTGGGGGACTGCACGAGTGTGTGTGAGTTAACCTTTAGAACCCAGAAACATCGATTTGCTAAGCATGTGTGTCTCCATGCACCTTGATAAGTGAGTGTGTAAGGATTCTCTCCAATGTGTGCAGGCTTGTGTTGTTCACCATGAGCGTGTGTGTGTGTGTGTGTGTGTTTGTGTGTGCGCTCTCACCTTGGGGCAGGCCATCCCACACGTCCAGCCAGTCGTACTTGCAGTCGCCCTCTCCCACCAGCAGGGGATCGTTCTCCAGGTCAAAGGTGAGGAACGTGAGGGTGATGTCCATGTGGGGCGGGGCGATGATCATATAGGAGCACTCCAGGTTATGCGGGTACTTATCCGGGAACCCCGGGGACTCGATCATGCCGGAGGAGCTGGTGAAATTGCGGAAGCAGAACTCTGACCCTGTGTGGATGCAAGGATGAGAGGATGTTTAGGGAGGAATAAGCAAACGGTCACATTAGGAGAAGATGCAGGCGTGAGCAATCGATCACGCGGTGGATATCTCATCTGACTTGCAGAGGGTGTTTCAGAGAGTCGTTCATCACTGACAGCAAGGCCGGAATATACAGTAGCCGGGGCGACGAGGCACACAAACACACACGGTTTATGATTACAGATGGAGGAGAAAACACACAGTGAGCAAATGTTCAAATGGGCGTGTCTAACATTACGATGTGTGCGATTTGAGCAGGCTAATGGCTCTGTTTGTCAGTCCCTCCCATTGCAATTTTTGACACAATAAGTAACATTTTTAATCACTTGTGTTAAAAAACAATTAAAAAATGTGACAAATATGTGATAAAATACAAACTACACTTCTGGAAAAATTGATGGCGTTATTGTGGCCTTAAAAGACCCAATCCTCATACCTTTAAGGTTACATAATGTGACATATATAATGATACACTCTTATGCGGGGCTAAAGAGGGGAGTAGACTGACCCCTGCTCTATTCCCTGCTCTATTTTATATATTCAAAACACTCTCTGTCTGTCTGTCTGTCTGTTTCGTCTCTCTCTCTCTCTCACACTCACAAACACACACACACACGCACACAGAGTCACACACACCGCAAACGTTGTGTAATGGTTCTAAGTGGGCCCTTTGCGGTGGCTTCTCATTAGCCATGCAGATTTATGCGCCCTGGGCAGCTCACCTTGAGCTGCGGCAGCTGTGTGGCTCAGATCATCTACCCATCAGCCACTGCTCCGCAGGCCCGCTGGGGAGCCTGAGTCACGGCCGAGTGTTTATGGACCGGCACATCAATGAGGACGGCAGAAAGAGCTGACGGTCCAGCACACGCACACAGACAGGCGACTCTGCACAAATGTCACACACTCAGTCTCATTCACAAACCCTGGCTATTTTCTGAGTCTATCCATTCTCCTTGAACATTTCTATCTTTATATCTAGGCTATAAACAGTCGGGTCTGTTTAGTTGTGTGCCTCAATCTATTTTTGTGCTTGCCAGAAGGGCAAATATCTTCATGTGATAATGTTGCTAAGAGACTGCAAGATTTTCATTAGATCTTTGTTTAACTGCACATGTCAGTAATGCCTGCGGTTGTGACCTTTCTAAACCGACTGATGGCACTTAAATCACTGCTCCTCTCGTGGCTATTTACAAGTGCACTTGCAGTGGACGTTTGTTTTTTACAGCTTCTCTCTCCAGTTGAAATTTCTTGCGCAAGGCTAACACATTTCTACTTTGCCAAGGCGCTCACAACTGGCAAGCGTATAACTAGCATAAGGAAACGAGTCTGTTCTCGCAGTATTTTCCCATCATTGAGAAGCAGATAGGGAGGTCAGGTTGAGGAGACTCAGGGGATAAGCTTCTGGTGGATTTCAAATCTGGGAAAAAATGGGGTTGCATCGAGCAGTGCTGCACTGTGTCAGAGAGCTGCCAGGTTTGTTTGATAACCAGATACATTTTCATAAAAGCAGTGTTTAGGAGCGCAGACATGTTAACAGCACATTCCTTATGCAGCATTCCTCCAAGGCACCAGTCCTTATTATCAAGCAGCCCTATAAAAGCAGAGAGGTCGACTGGCTGCTCGAGCCCTCCCCTGTCTACACTTGGTTAATGGCAGAGAGCTGACCCCAATCAGCACGGAGAGAAGGGAAAAACCTCAAGAGACACACACTCTGTGTCTCTCTCGCTTTGTTTGTCCTGTTCTCTAGCCTCTCTTCGTTTTGTGTTTTTCTCGCCTTTTCCTCCTTTTTTTGCTCTATTTTGAAACCAATTATCATTCTCTCGCTCCTTGAGTCGTATTTACAACATATGTACCTGTCTGCCTGTCGACCTGTTTTGCATGCATGTGCTGAAAACGTTGACACAAACGTACAAATTTCCACTCTTGCGTCGACTCCCACGCACACACTGTGACATCAAAACACCCGTGTATCATCTGGTTTCATGCTAGGAGCCTGGCTGCCTTCACAAACACACATACACAGAACTAGGCATGCTGAAATATGACTGTAATTTACAGCAAGCTACCGGCGCTATCTCCCTTTCCACTCAACTACTGACCTCAACTCTCTGTGCTAAGCGTGTTTTTGTGTGTGCGTGCCTATGGTTGCCGTGTGTGAGCGAACAGCGTAAATTGGAGTAAATGTGAATGCTATGAATCCAATAAAGCAGTAAGATGCATGCGATAGTAATGTGTTTACAATGGAATAGTAAATGAACTATGCAGTATGCATGAGCCGTATGTGAGTGCGTGCCTTTGCATGTCTCTCCTAACATGTGTATTTTTTGCCGCTGGCATGTTTGTATCTCTGTATGAGTCTCCTGCGCGTGTGTCTGAAGGTGTGTGTGACAGCTTCACAGCATGTGTGAGACCCAGTAACACACTGGCCTTGTTTCTTACTGGGTCACAGTGCAGCAGTCTGCAGTGCTACTGTCGAAAAAACTTCAATCTGAGCACAGCTTGACTCCATCGCCTCCAAACACACCACTCCGTATTTTTTTTTTCTGTGTGTTTTACACTTGGTGTGCCTGAAACAGTCGCTTCAAACACTCCACACTGCCATGTGCCAGCACTGTGTGCGTGCACGTGTTCGTACACTTGCGTGTGGACCCTTCGCAGTGTTCACGTATGCATGAGTACCTTTTATTTTCGTTAGCGCTCATTAGTTCACAGAATATGAACATGCCAAAAACAAGTTCCCCTTTCTACTCCCATCCGTCACCCCTCGGCCCATGTCTTATGCACACACTGCGTGCACACACTCACACATGCTTGCCTTACGAAGGCCCCCGGTTGGTGCTTGCATCGCACCAGGAGCTGCCATTTGGCAAGAGCTGTTTGCTGGCAAGGAGGGAGAGGTCATGGTGTGAGTGTGTATGTGTGTGTGACGAAGGGAGGGGGGGGTTAGCGGGTGAGTTGCTGGGTAGAAACCACTCGACTCTTGCACATGAGTGCCTGATGTAGTAGTGGCTCCACATGTTGTGTCAGGGCAACCCCCATCCCCTCCTCCTTCTCCTCCTCTTCCTCTCCCATCCTCCCCTCCGTTCCCTGTCTTCTCAGCAGCGACACGCAGAGTCTGTGTTCATTCGCTCTTTTAACTCTCTGTCTCGTCTGGCGTCGCCCTGCTCCTCAGCACGCAAAAACCCTTGCTGAGGGCTCACCTCTGCGTTTTGTGAGTGTCTGCCGCACATCAAAACCACCTCACCCTCCGCTCTCTACCTGCCTGTCTCCTTCTGACATACATCTACTCCTCGTACGCACGCAGATCTCTCATGTAACCCCTGCTTGAGCTCAGTTCAGGATTTCATTGAAGAAAATCTCTCCCGGGGCATTCTGATGAGATGTGTGCCTATGCGTGCGTGAATGTGTGGCGCAAGGGGCGTGCTACACTAGGGGGAGTTGGGGTGGAAAAACCCACAATAACAACAACAACAACATCGCGAACAAGAGGAAGACCCAAGAAAAGAAAAACAACATTCTTGGCGTGCCATGGCTCGACACTTTTATAGACCCAGAGAGATATTCTGCATCAGTCTGAAGCAGCTTTATATAGAGAGGAATGCTCCTTCTATGTCACGTATCATGCTGATGCCTCTCTTATGTGTTATGGAATGGAATGCCATCATCAGGTTTTTTTAATCTCGAGCAAAACGCCTCCTGCTGTTCGTGATCAAAGTGTTTGTGCAGCTCTCGATTTCCTGAGTCTTCCTCACGAGGATGCTGATGATGCCTTATTATTTAATTTTAGGGCGCGTTCTCTTTACTTGCTGATCACTTCTCTTTGTGCTCATCCAGTTTATTTATTCATGATTTGAATTTACCTTTGCCAGTTAATTACTTGAGTGTAATTCCAGTGTTTGGGATGAAGGGGGGGGATTTCAGAAGTAAACACCACATGGCAAACAGCCATACAGTAACAGTAACCAGTGACTCAAGGGTCGGCATCCAATCAGCGTGATAGCATCAGAAATACACACAGGGCCAATGTTATGACTGGCACTTGGGAGGGGGGTCCTGCCTTAGGCTGTGCTCCCGCCATGACCCCACAGATGCCACGGCAGCGGTCACGGAGGGGACCTGACAGCCCCGGGGTCGCTCTTGGCCCTGTCTTAACTCGGGATTGGCTGCGACGTTATCTGGCCCCGCTGCGCTAGTGGTGGGCTTTGGGGAAGTGGGAAAAAGGGGGCTTTGCTGGAAAGTCTTCCCCCTGTAGCCGTGGTAACAGCATCAGTGACACGTGATCTAAATGTATGAGGGATGGATGGGGGCATGGGGGGGTGGTGGTAGTCGGGGCTGAATAAAGGGTTAAAGCATGCATGAGTAGGAGTAAAGTAGGCCACAACAATAAAGGGGAGGAGGGCGGTCGTGCACTTTCACTGTACAACAGGATTAAGGCATAAGTGACTGTATGGGGGGGTGGGTAGGTAGAAGGATGTTGTTTCGATCACCCTGTCTCCCCTCAGGAGGTGTACAGAAGGGTGGAGGGGTATCAGGGTGGATGTAGAGTCAAAGGTCGACTCCTTCTCCTCCTTGCTGGAAATAATTAGCTTTCACTGCACTGTACCCCATTACACACACACACACACACACGTTGACACAAACAGATTGCTTGTCCAATTCAAAATCCCCTAGAGTTGTTAACAGTCATCGCTTATGTAATAGGGTTGAATGAGCAAAACAAAAACAAGCTGCGGTATCATTAGTTCATACTACAAGATATGCCTCTCTCTCTCTCTCTCTCTCTCTCTCTCTCTCTCTCTCACTCACACACACACACACACACACACACGGCACCAGACACACACTGTCTGACTTCTAGACACAGTGTGGTGGGGTCAGCCTGGACTGTGAGCTGTACTGTCTGTTTAAGGTGGGAAGGAAGCCGAACAGAGACACACACATCTCCCAGCTTTGTGCTGAGATTTCTATCTCTGCCAGGACGCACCCTTTAAAAACACATACATACACACACCCACTCATACACAAACCCACACACTGTACACACACTGTACCAAAAATATTCCACCCCAGTGCAATCTAGGATTGCCCCTCACACACTTTCACAGCTTTGATACTGACTTTAAAAGTAGAAAAATAAAATTACTATTATACTATTTTATTTATTATTATTTACTATACTATTTCTAACCAGCTTTGTACTGTCTTACAAAGCTGGTTAGAAATTACAAGTACACAAAAAAGCAACTAAAATCCATTAAGGAGAGTAAAAGTAATGGTGGTGCAATTACTTCCACTCTGGTAAATAAACACATCTCAGCCAGGATCTCTGCATTCCCGTCAGAAGTTGTAAGCTGTGTTTAGTGGAAACCCATGGCCCCGGCCTGCCACGGTAAGACAAACAGCTATGATGAGAGAGCGTGCAGGCGCTGGAAACGCAGTAATTAACACATGGCCTCAATCACGCATCCTGAATACATTTTCACTCTCTGACTCACTCCTCCTTTGTCGGTCTGTCTCCCTTCACCCCAATCATTTCCCCACCGTGTGTCTCCGTTCATCTGTCTTTCTACCTCTCCCGCTCGCAAACACACACGTGCATCTATCATTCCACCTCCACATACGTATAGACAGACAGAATCTCGCACAACAAGCCCAGTGGAACCACCCACACATGCAGCGAGCAGACACCTACATGTGCTCTCGCAGTGACACAATCTCTTATACCCCCTGAATTTATACCAGGATCTTGTTAAAGCCATGGCAACCGCATCCCCCATCCACCAGCCTTCAATCCATCCAGTGTGTGTGTGTGAGACAGATGCAATCTACACTATTACATTGTCAGGGTTCGAGCTGGTGGCCTTGGTAACCGAGCTGAACGTTAAATCTGGGTCACATTCATTTGACACAAAAGCAGAGATATTTTTCAAAGATGGGAGGTGATAACTCAATGCATTCTTTCTGTTGGATGAATGCTCATTTGTGCTCCATTAACCAGCCTTTCTACACTGGCTTTCAATTAACTTCTTGTTTTTCTATCAAGATACATTTCCAGTTCTACTAAATGAACTGCGGCCTGCTATAGAGTGCTGCAAAATGCTGCAAAGACAATCAGCTGGTAACTCACTTGAACATAAATCTTTTAACTGCCTCAAGGCCACCTGCCCATTTCACCTCTCCGGCATCTACTATACACACACGCACCTCACCACCGCCACCAGAACAAATATACCTTCCACTGCAACCTCACCTGCAAACTCGCACTTCACCCCGTGCACTTCAGCAACCTCGGGAAAATTCCATTTCGCCACACACTCATCCCCATCAATCTTGCCTCCGCCTCTACCCATAAACCTTTAACCTTAAGTCCAACTCCAAGTTGCCTCGGAGCTCTCTCCATCATCCCCCCGCCGCCTCACGCAACCACCGAGGCCTCCTCGTCTTCCCAAAGGAAGCGGATCCTGCTCCAATTAAGGGAGCATTCCTCACATGCTTCCAGGCGGCTTGAAAGAAGTAGTTTTCCCCCCCGCCTCCCTCTGTCTTTGACTTTTGTTTACATGCCCGGTTGCCTCTGCTGATGGTAATTGTTGTGAGAGAGTCGGGGTGAATGATCACAGGTTTCTGGCCATTGATGTGTGGCAAAAAAGTGGCACATTGATGGAATCATTAACTTAAGTGTTAATGTACAGCAGAGCCTTCCCGTTATCTGGAACTCATGTTTCCCACAGGAAAGGTCTTTGAATGCTCGTAGACATTGAAATAAATTACACGCAATGAGCAGCGGACCCTGGCTAACGGTCAGTAACTGAGTAGCTGTAGCACTTTTAGTGGGATTTTGTCCATATGGTAAAAATAAGCTACAGGAATCAACCATTAATCAGCTACTATCGTTTGTATTCCAAACTGCATATCAGCATAATGTAAAACAGTCAAGATCAAACAGTCAAGAAAAGATCTATACACTCTGTTCCATGCTGAATATTTTTATTTTATCTAACTTAATATTGAGCTTGAATCTTATTTTTATTATTTGACCAAAAAGGGAAGTTCACCCTCAATTGTTTCTGGACTTGTTAATTAAAATAGAGAAAATATAAACAGATCACTCTATTGTATTGAGTAAATGCCACTTAAAAGTTTGTCAGAATTAACTTTAAAATAACAGTTAACATATCAATAATCATATTGTAGGTCAGATCCTGTGGTGTGTCTCTATGCACTCTACTCTACTGAAAATCTATACTCAAGTAAAAGTACAATTCCTCCCATTAAAAAGGACTCAAGTAAAATTTAACATGACCATTTGAAAAATCTACTATAGTAAAAACAAAAATTCATTGTGCAAAATAATGAAAAAAGACTGTATTTATCAGAACACCAAAGATTGTTACATATGAAAAATTAACATAGCTAACTACATTTTCATCTACAGTATGTGCAACTTACTTCAATGTGGCTGCGGAGGTTAGAAGAGGAGTTTAAAAGCAGAGATCTTAGTGTTTTTTGGGAAGCACAGCAAGCACTTCATCATGTAACTGTTGTCTTTTTTAGGTTTTGGTATAAAAAAAAAGTGTCCAGATGTGGATTCTGGAAGTGGCCTCATGTTCTGGGTTTTGCCCTGTCACCATTACATCATGGTCAACAGACAGGTGGTGTTATTTTTCTTCCAGGGAGGTTGTGGCTCAGAAATAGACTTAATAAAGAGCAGAAATAGTTTCAAAAAAGAAAAGTGTCCAATCCAGTTCCTCACCTGTTTTGAAGATCTCGTAGCGCAGCGAGAAGCCCGCCCCTTGGTGGGCGTAGTCTGAGACGAATCTGATCTGTAGGGAGGGTCCAGACGAGATGATGGGTGCTGGGGCGATGTTGCTGCAGTGTCGACCCAGAACATCTGCGGTTTCCGAAGTCCCATCACGGATCTCGATGAAGTCATACCTGAGCCACGAAAAAAAAAAAACGGGGAAAAAAAACAAAGAAATTGGTTATTTCCTGCTTTAAAATGTTTTCACACAAGCAGCCCTCAGAAAACGATCCTAACATTCAGTTTGCATTGAGCTTAATGCAGCAGGAAGGGATTAAGGGAGGTAAAGAGATAAAAGGATAGCAGCGGAGGGTAGATAAACATAGATAGATAGTTATGGGGTTATGCAACAAGCTAAGCTAATAAAAACCAGACAGGTGTGGACCTATTTATCATCAGAGTTCAGCCTCCGGACAGAATACACAGTGTCCAAGCAAAGCATTTAGGAACACAACACAACATGAAAACACAGGGAAATATATCTGCCACAGACTTGGCTCTCAGTCAAAACATTTCCACCTTACGTGTGCTCTTTACCCTCAGCTGCATTCAATAAATTTAGCTCTTACGACCTAGTTTTGCTCGGGACAACAAACTCAGATCCCTTTTACATCAGCTCGGGGCGAGATATCCCCAAATCACTGAATCTTTGGATCACAGGAAAGGAAAACAGAGGGAGGGCTGCCTTTCAAACAGAGCATAGTTGAGCAAGTGAATGCAATCTTAAGGTGAAGATGCAGGCAAATAAGACAGCTGGATGGATTCATTAATAAGATGTGTAAAAATAGGTAGAGAGAAGCTCATTAAAAAATAAAGAGGCAATGGCTTGAGGAGAGGAAAGGTGAGGACATCAGCAGCATGGGGGGGGCTGAGATGTGAAGACACCTCACTTTTTAGCTTCCACATGCTTGAGCACTCAGCTCATTATGACCTCTGACTAGCCAACTGACCCTGAACGATAAAAGCAAATTCTTAACTGTCAGGTCAGCGTGTGTGTGTGTATGTGTGCTTTTATGTGTGTGTGAGAGAGAGAGCCCACCTGGCTGATCCAGAATTAGCTCGTAGCACTGTGTGTCATTCCTCTAACATTATTAGACACATGCACCAGCACACAGGCGACACACACTTAACTGTCTGTGGTTGATGTTTCATTTACCATTTTAGCAATGCCAGATGGGCGGGGTTTACCGCATCAGGACAAATGAGTCGATCACAGAAAATTTGCACTTCTTTTGTGCGCATGCAGGGTCAAACGGGTTATAATTCATCTTCCACGCTGACTACAAACATTAATGTTGCTATGTTTCCAGTCTGCTGTGCATTTGTACTTCTTCCT